CACAGGGGCAATAAAACTGGCAACAGGGACGCAACATTACTGAGCAAAGAGAAAAAAACAAACCCTGGTGCAGGCATCTCCAAATCTTTTTATGGAAAGCAAAAGGCCAAATGTTGATGAAACATTTAAGACTGTATTCTAACCCTGCTCTGGGCTGTTTAACTATGCCAACACACAAGAAATCTTTTTCGCTCTGCACAGAACTTTTAGAGAAATGCTTTTAAGCCTCAGACATTTTTGAAAATGCCACGTATTTGTTTTATCTTGTTATTTTTTTTAATGTGTGCGTGTTTTAGAATATTAATATTTAGTGCTGGCAGTCGGTGGTAAAAGGATGAAAATAAAATTACTATGTGTTTTTATAAGAGGACCACTGTGATCAGCATCTACTCTAACAGGTTAAGAGAAAGAAAATACACACACACACACACACACATGCATGCACACACACACACACACACACACACACACACACACACACACACACACACACACACACACACACACACACACACACACACACACACACACACACACACACACACACACACACACACACACACACACGCACACACTAACATGATACTAACTGAGACGATTTGTGCAAAAAGGAACAAAAAATCTCTTCATCACAACAAATCAACTAATCAATGAACAAGGACGCCACTGCCATTGGCACACGTTTTTTACGTCCCTCAAATGAAACTTTTACGTGTGAGCAGACGTTGGTATTAAAAGCTGCACATGCTAAATTACTTTCGTTGCTTGTTAGGAAGTCAGCTGAGATTAACAGGCAGATCGAGGTGTCTCTTAACATCACTCCTCTTCCTGTGAATGTAAAGGTCAGCGATTTTAATGAGAAGACTGCCGAGGTCAGAGCAGCCAGAGGGCTCCACCGCCCTGACAGGCCACAAAACACCACACCTGCTGTTAGCATGCTAATCCTTACAGAACCTCCAGGAGCACTTCCCTTTCATTTCTTTGTTTATTTTATTTTTTGGCACGGTTAAGCCATTTCTCACTGTGACTCCCCGCTCAACCATCACGTGGCCCCCTGCAGACAGCTTTCTCAAATTATAATGGACAACAGAGGCAGCGGTACCTTGACAATGGTCCACCTGACAAATTATTTCCTGCTTTATCTCCACCTCTTGTTTAGTCCTTGTTGCTTGGCAGTTCTGGGCACGGACGGATCAAGGGTAGTGGGAGTGGTTCGGCATTGCTGGGCCAAAGTGTGTGTGTGTGTGTGTGTGTTTTAAAGTGTAGTATAATGATGTCCTTCATGACACGTGTTGCCTATCTCTGACAAAGCACTCACAATCAATCGCGATCCATCTTTGCAGAAGCAGGTCACAACGCGAGGCCTGAGCATGCGTTCTGAACTGAACTGAACTGAGCTTTCTGGGCCAGGGAGAGAAAAAGCACACACACACACACACACACACACACACACACACACACACACACACACACACACACACACACACACACACACACACACACACACACACACACACACACACACACACACACACACACACACACACACACACACACACACACACACACACACAGAGGCATCCCGGGCCAAATGGGAGAGGAGGAGGAGAGAGAAGAATCCCACAGAGAGGATGATGCAACTGAAGTGAAATTTTTGGCCCAAACACACGCTGCATTAACGCAAACCTGCAGGATGCAGAAACACACTCACTCTTCTTTCTTTGTTCAAAGTCAGGTTTGATTTCATCCATCTTTTACTTATATATGTTTGTTTGTATAGAGGCAGCAACCTGTAACCTCTAACTCCCAGTATGACACAGCATGACTCTCTTGCCCTTATTTGAGCATTGTGACTTCCTGGTCTCAGCGAACTCTTCGAAATCTGCTTCCCCCTCACACATTCAGGCTGAAATATCAACACTAAGGTGTTAAGCGAGAACCACAGCTCCTTTTATGACCAACACAGATTATAGCCCCCATCTGCAGCATAAGCCATCTGTAGTATGGGCAAATTTAAACAAGACTGTAAGTGGTCATTCCAGTGTCCCTCCATGTGTTTTACTCCAGTTACACTAAAAGACACGGGATATCGTTACATTTTTTCTGATGGATCGATAGTTTATGGAGCAAAGCAGCTTATTTTGGGATTAAACATGTTCTCCTTTGTAAAACTGAAGTAGACTTTTGGAGAGCACAAACTTGAAGATCTGTAACCCAATTCAAATGAAAACGGACAATTCGACCCAATAAAGGAAGTTATAATTCCTGCTTTGACTTTGAGTAATTCCCTGGCTTTCTAGCTTTCAGCCTGTGGCGAGAGCTGTTCCTAATGTATTTAGCCTGACCAAGGACAAATATGTTACTCACATCAAATTCCCACCAAGTTCAACAACAACAATAATAACAAACAACTTCAGCAACAGTTAATTTGCTGAGAAAAAAAAAACGATTTAAGGGTTGAAACACGATCCTGCATGAAGATGCGATAAAAACAGCACCGTTGCTTAACTTTTCTTCCCCATGTCATCAAAGCTCAATCGCTCCAGTGATTAGGACATAAAATCTGGCTGATAAATAGTGCCGGCAATCCTATCTGTCTCTGTTGGTCTCCAGAAGATCTCCACCTCCCCAGCTGTGTTGTGAGCGAGGGGAGAGAGGGGGCTAGCTTTTTGTGCTGCCTCTCAGCCCCGTTGTGCTCAGCGGCAGCGACAGCGGCAGCAGCCGGTGACCATTATAAATGGCCTCTATTAGCATGGCTCGGTTGCAGAAGGGAGAGAAATAAAATCATTGGAAGGAATGTAGACCTGCTGGTGTCCCGGTACCCACTATCAAGCTCTGCTTAGCCCCTCCTCATTCAAAGTTTCCCTCCATCCCCCCATTCCAGTGAGACACAATCCTAAAGACTAGATTACTGGTGATACATGAAGTCATTATGAGGAAGGGTTATGGCAACAGTATCTAATGCACGGCTGACAGCGGCTTTAATAGGGGTCTCTTTCTTCAGAGGTTATTCTTTCGGCACGCTGATAGAAAGCAGAAAGGCTTTTCATTATGCAGCTAGAACTCCTTTTTCAGTTGAAGCACTGCACCATTTAAGGTGGAAGCAAATGAACACAAAAGATGAGGCAACGAAATGTAAAATAAAAAATGGAAGTGAGATTTCATCTGTGTAAATCAGTGGTTGTGTACTACCACGCCCACCGCAAAGAAACAGGAGCACTGTCACTGAAGAGGCGACACATCAATGCGTGGAGACAAAAGCAGGAGAGGGAAAGGAAAGGATGATGTGTCAAATGGAGTTAATGAAAAAGGAGGAGAGGGATGAATATAGGGTGAGGTTTCTGGTGGGAAGCTCTAAAGACTTCACTCCACTGGAGCACGTCACACCTTAAAGGGTCATCTTGCCCTCGCTTCCATCTCGGCTCCGAAGCAGGACTTTTGGAAAAATGTTCAGAAGCAGCAGCGAGAAGAGCGGAGAGCAAAAACTCCCTACAGAAAGATGATCAGAACGAGTGGGTTTCAGCTCCAAACCGCCAACAAAACCAACATTTAAAGGTGAATGGAGAAGAAATCAAAAATGGGAAATTAGGACTTTGGATTTCATATAGTGTAATTGTTGCCCTAAAGAGTATTTACTCCTTTACTCGCTCTTCGACTTTTTAATATTATGCTGTGAAGACTTTAATAAAACCTGGTTTGACAGCAGCACACACTGTGAGTCACTTTGCCTGTTATTTGTGGATCGTGCTGTCTTTTACTGCTAATTTGGACACCTTCCACAGAAACCTCGGGAAGGTGTTAGGAGGTTGTGGAGGAAACACGGCCTTCAAACAGCTTGCAGTGTGCCAGCGAGATGGTAAAGCCAAGGAGTAAAGTGCCTCCAGCTACTTAAAATATGAGCACAGCGGGAGCTCGCTAATGAAAGCGGGGGCCCAGCCTGAAAAGCAGGGCCGTATATCGCAAAGAGGAGACAGTTCTTAGAATCAGCTGGTGAGCTGTGCCTATAGTTCTGGGGCCACTGGTGATTAACCATCCAAGAGGGAGTCGCTACTACAGCTGGACTATTAATAAAAGATCCCCCCCCCCCCCCCACACACACACACACACATACCTTCTCCCACCTCTTTGGTTTCTTTCCATCCCTGCAGACAATCTCCACCTCCTGAAACTGTGTTACATGGTGGATGTCACACACTGTTTACATGTGGCAGAGGAAGCTTATGAGGAGGAGCAGGAGGGTCCTAAAGAGGAGTAGCTTGATGTAAATGTTCTTCGCTCCCCTGGGAGATGCTCTGCAACTACAGCAGATCATTTAGTGACCTCTCATTAGATAGTCATTTTCATCTGGGATTACCTTGATATGAGATTGGGTGGTTTCTTGTGCAAAAAGGTCCCCCAAAGAGAAATAACTGTAATGAATATTTTTTGGGCTCTGAATATAAAAATCAAACCAGAGCGAACAAGCCAAAAGTAGGCTTGGTTGGAAAGTTTAGAATTAAGCAAAAATTCTCCAGTTTAGCTTTGTGGATTATCCATTTTTTAAAAATCCAGGTGTAACTAATTATCACCAGAATTTATAAAAATAAATGAACAAATAAAGCACAATTTGTTCACACGCCTACTCCTACCGCTGTTGCACGTTTGTATGAACGTGCACGTTCAACCCCCTCTCTCTTTCTCTCCTCACACGCACTCTCACACGCCGAGAGTGTAACAGGCATCAGTGTGCAGCTACAGCCTGACTCACGCTCTCACATACACTTTAACATGTTCTCGCATGAAAAAAATCCTTAAAATGACAAATAATAGTAAAATAATTTAAAATTTGCGTCTTTCTGCACAAATCTCAGCTAAATCAACACGCACGCACGTCATTAGATATACATCCCTTTTCGTCAGAATACTCATAAATCCGTGGGTGATTCTACATCCCGTGAAACGCCCCTTTCATGCAATTAAAGTAGAACCTCAGTCGATTTTCGGGATTCGGTGGAACCCACCTTTGTGCATGCCCGTGAAGCGGTCCTTGAGCACAGTGAGCTCGTAGATCTTGCCGAACTCCTCGAACAGGGGCCGGAGGTCCTTCTCGTCCAGGTTGCGGGGGATCTGACCGATGAAGAGTTTGATGGCATCGTGGTCCTTCATGGGTATGGTGGCCGGACATCCCGCCGGGCTGTGGCTTAATCCGTTCACGAGCCCGTTCGTGGTGGCAGACACGACACCGACACCGTGCACGGTGCCGTCCACCTGCCCGTTGGTTAAAGTTGCCATGCTTCAAAATCTGCCAGTGAGTTGGGATGGACACAGCAGCAGCAGATGGTGATGGTGGAGGATCGTCACAAAATAAGAAAAAGGAAAAAATAAAAATAAAAAATAAAAGATCAAAATTTGGTTCCGAGACCAAGCCGAGCCAGTGAGGGTCCGCTCTCGTCCTATCACAGCCAGTTTTTAGAATGGTTTGAAAACACATGTAGCGTTTGGCAAAGACACATTTCAAAAGCGCACAATGCCGTTGGTCCCGATGGAGGGTTTGATTCCTTATATTTATGTCCTACCCAATAACTCGTTCATTGATTTCATAAAAGAGAGAAAGAAAGAGAGGGAAGGAGAAGGGGGAGGGAGGGAGGGAGAGAGAGAGAGAGAAAAAGAGAGAGAGAGAGCAACAGCGTTCACTGTCTATTTACACCCACGTTCCTCCGTCCCAGCTTCTTGGCACCCTTTTATTTTTTTTTGCATTGAGGTCTCGGTATGGGTGTCTTCTCGGTTTAAACGGACAAGACCGGCCCAAAACCTACCAGAGCAGCGGGGAGGTTCAAATAAAAAAGGAACGTTTATAGTCACTAAATGTAAAGCCCAGCCTTTGCCCTCTCCCCTCTTATTCTCACAGAATGAACCAGTGGTACATTCCATCTGGGGGAGAGGGTCTATAAATAGAGAGCTATAGAGAAAACGGTCCTTTGTGCTCCAACTCAGAGAAAACCACTGCACGTTCACTTACTGGAGGGTGTAAAATATCTAGATGGACATCCTCTCAGCTGTGGAATAAAAAAAAAAATAAACATTTCCACCGGACCTGCTTCACATTAGATTAAGCAGAAACAAACAAAACTAGGCAGAACATTTCTCATAGTCATCCAGGAGGTTTAAGGTGTTTAGTCACATTTCAGATCCTTTCAGCAGCGGTGGAGCGCCCGGGCAGACAGCTCCGTGGTGCTGAAATTCGGTCTTAAAGGAAACTAAACGAGGCGCTAGAAGATACGTCACAGATTTTTTTTAAGCTTTTTCTTCTTCTTTTTTTTTGGAACGAGGTACTCTTTTTGCTGTTAGATTATTAACTTCCTCTTCACTGTTTCCCAAAGTCATACTGAATAAATGACTTGATTTTCAGAGAGAGAAAGTCTGTGAGCACCGCCGAGTGGCGTAGAGAGGGGCCACATGGAGGAAAAACAGAAACCCGACAGGAGTGGGACACATTGACAGCATGTAGCTCACAAAAAATATAAAAACAGCCTATTCCCCCAAATAAGACAGAGACAATGATGAATTATAGGAATATATATATATATATATATAATAACCGATGGTCTGCAAAGTCAATACATTTATTTACTCTAGGTTTTGAGGTTAAAATAACAAATTCTTTTGAATCCATCAAATTATTTTAGTGTGTTGATTTTGAATGACATGAATGTGTTGCAATATGCTTTCTCCTACGTAAAAAATAGAACAGTCTTAGTCAAAATAGTTTGAAAATGCTGCTTAATGACACACCATGTGCATCAACATTTCTACATGATCACCTGTAAGTGACATCCTTTAAATCTCATGACCAAATCCCAGTGATTGTTTTGTCACTAAATATTTCTAATACAATGAGCTAAAGGTTAATATGCAGTAGAAGAAGAGCTGTTATAAAAATTCATTATTATTGCTTTTTGGCCACACACTGGTTCTTGTGGATTCTCTTAAGAGTCAGTCCATTTTCTTTATCTCTTCTTCCAAATGGGAAAACACACCCGCTGTTGCACCAGTGTATAAATGACAAGACTGCTGCAAACTCTTTTCAGCCTAACCTGATGAATGCCACTTTAATGACCAGTATTGTTGCCTATTAACACAGGATGCTTGTTGTGTTGCCCTATCATTGGCATGTTTTTTTCACACTGGACAGTTGGCTTTGACTCTATTATTTATGTGTTAACTAGAGGCTCTGGGGCTACAGTTATGTTTGACCCTGCTGAGGTGCCCGAATAACAGCAACATGGCTCTACAAAACTAATGCTGTTTTCTTTTGAAAATATGATAACCCTCTTTACCCCCACACACCATCAGAACATTAGCTAACCATTAGGTAACAAAAGACTCGTGGATCCACAGCATCCGTCTTCTCTTACTGCTCATCTGCTAGCTAAATGGCCTGCTAATGTCATCCCACTCTCATGGCATGACCAAGCCTGAGCAGTTCTTGGGGTGAGGCAGGGGGTACAGGACTTGGCTTTTCTTTGGCATGACACTGTGCTTTGCTCTCCAAGTCTTCTCTTGGAGCCATGCACCATTCAGCACATCAGTCCTGCCTGCGCTCACACCTGACTTACCTCCAGCAATATTTTTTTTAATACAAGGACAAAATGGGAGGGCACAAATCATTGTAATTATGCTCACTGGGTCCTGCCGTGATGATTATGTAAGGTATGGCTCTCTTACTGTCTGCCTTGTGACACGACCTACCTTTAGAGTAGAGGGAGGGCTCCAATTGGTGAGCCCATTTCACTAGTAATAAAATAGGCAACATTAACAAGGAAGAAATGGAACAGTGTGTGTTTTTGCTCTCCACTTTGTAGTTTGAGTCTGTTTGTAATTTTTAACACAGCTTCATGACACTTGAGCTGGCATCCAACTCACAGGCATGCAGAAAAATGACATCTGGTTTTCATCAATATCTTTAACCTCCAGGGACCCAAACTTGTATTTGGTGTGATCTAAAATATAGGAACATTTCTAGTTCTTACAGATTAGTCAACTGTAATTAACTGAAACAAAATTACAAAAGTTAAAACACAATCAACATAAAATTAAATAAAAATGTTGTCAAATATACTACAGTGTCAATAAATAATAACAAAACGTTTTAAGTAGAAGAGAATAAAATTTTAAAGAGCAAGGAGTCAATGTCCACATATATGGACACAAGGTCCTATGAGGTTAACTTTCTTTAACCACGGTGCTGAAACTAATAAATTAATATTAGGCAGTGGCAACTAATGTATGCCTCTGACCATGGGGCTGAAACTAGTAAACTAGTATCAAGCAGTGGTAACTGCTGTATAACTCTGACCATGGTGACCATGCTTAAATGAGTATCTGGCAGTAGTGGCCAATGCATGTCTCTGCCCAGGGTGCTGAAACTAATATCTGGCAGTAGAAACTAATTAATGCCTCTGTCCATGGTGCTGAGTTTAGTATCAGATAGCAGTATGCCTCTGTCAATAGTGCAGACATTAATACAGGACAGTAAAAATGAATGAATGCCTCAGTCCACGGTGTTAAAACTAGTAAACTGGTAATAGGCAGAAGAAAGTAATGACTGCTTTTGTCCATGGTGCTGAAACTTGTAAATGGGTAACAAGCAGAAGAATGTAATGTGTGCCTCTGTCTTGGGTGCCAACACTAGTGTCAGGCAATAACTCATGAATTACTCTGTCCATGCTGCTGAAGCTAGTAAACTACTGCTACTAACCAGCAGAAGTGAGAAATGCATACCTCTGTCCAGAGTGCTGACTTTAGTATCAGAAAACTGCATGTTGTGTCCATGGTACTGAAAATAACAAACTGGTAGCAGGCAATAGTAACTAATGAAAGCCTCTGTCCAGGGTGCTGAAGATAGTAAACTGGTAACAGGCAGAAGTAAGCAATTCATGCCTCTCTTCAGGGTGCTGACACTAGTGCCATGCAATACCTAATGAATTCCTCTGTACATGGTATCTAAATAGTAAACTTTCACCAGGCCGAAGTAAGTAACAAATGCCTCTGTCTATGGTGCTTCAACTAGAATCCAGCAGTAGTGACAAATGCATGCCTCTGTCCAAAGTGCTGACTTTAGTACCAGACAGCAGCATGCTCTGCCCATGGAACTGAAACTAGCAAACTGGTAACAGGTAGAAGAGAATAATTAATGCTTTTCTCCATGGTGCTGAAACTTGTAAACTGGTAACAGACAGAATTGTGTAATGCCTGCCTCTGTCTTGGGTACCAAAGCTTGCGTCAGGCAATAACAAATGCATGCCTCTGTCCATGGTGCTAAAACTAGTGAACTGATGACAGGCCGAAGAAAGTAATGAATGCCTCTGTCCATGGTGCTGAAACTAGTATCCAGCAGTAGTGACAAATGCATGTCTCTGTCCAAAGTGCTGTAACTAGTGAACTGGTTACAGGCAAAAGTAAGTAATGCATTCCTCTGTCCATGGTGCTGACACCAGTAAACTGTTAACTCGCAAAATAAGCTAATAAATGCTTTTGTCCAATCTTGCTGAAACTTATACACTGGTGACAGACAGAAGTATGTAATACATGCCTCTGTCTTGGGTGCCAAAACTAGTGTCAGGAAATAACTAATGCATGCCCCTTTCCACGGTGCTGAAACTAATAAACCGGTATCAGGAAGAAGTACATAATGCATGTTTAGCTGAGTCATTTAGTTACAACAGTTATATTTAAATGAACATTCTCAAAACTTGTTTTCATTTCATATTATTTTATTTTTCAAACTGTTATTTTTGTGTATTTTTCGATTAAAGTAGGATGAATGTTTGTTCAAAGATTCCTAGTTACCTCTTGTTCCGGGTAGGGACTTAATTAGTGACACACCAGGGAGGGGCTTATGGGTCACATGGCAGCGGCTTCTCTTCAGAAGCTGCGGCACTGTCACGCCGGTGAGACGTGTTGCTTGCTGTCTCTCTCCAGATCATATGAGTAGCATTAAAATTGGATATTTTTGGTAGAATTTGGCTAAATTATAAGTTTATGTCAACTTTCTTTTGTTTTTAAGTGTTTTAATGTATTTTAGCTTGGGGTTTTGTTCGTCTAAAGTTATTTTTTATTCCCATGTGCTGCTTGTGGCCTGTAGGAGGCTGGGAGAGAGAGCGCCTCGTGAACTAACACTGCCCCCTGTTGCTGTGTGTGTTCTTCTAGGTATGTTACAGTTTTGTTAATATTATTTTGATGAATTTGCGAAAGGATTGCCTAATTTAATATTTTGTGGATTCACTTTTTATAATTATATATATATATATATATATATATATATATATATATATATATATATATATTTGCTAAGACTGTTTTGTTGAGAAATCTATTTTTTTAACCACGTGATTTGGGTTATGTTTTGTTATAATTAATTTGAACATTGACTCTAGAGAAGCTACCATTCTGCCACGGCGGATGCTGGGAGAGAGAGCGCCTCATGCACTAATGCTGCCCCCCTGTTGCTGTGTGTGTTCATTTAGAGCAATAAAGTGCAGATCCTGAGTCTGGTTGTCCTGAGTAGTTCTTCGAGGTACCTGACCGTACTGCAACCGCTACACATGCCTCTGTCTTGGGTGCCAGAACTAGTGCCAGTCAACAATGAATGCAAGCCCATGTCCATGGTGCTGAAACTAGTAAACTGGAAACAGGCAAAAGTACGTAATGAATGCCTTTGTCCATGGTGCCGACATTAGTGCCAGGTCATAACTAATG